GTACAAAAATGCGTGTTTTTCGGGTAAAATAATTGTTAAAAAATTTTCTAATTATTTTAGTCGTCAGAACTCTTTGGAAAAGCAATGTACTGGCTCAGAACTACACGAAAACTCTTTAATTATCAACAGAACTATCAATATACGGCCAGCATATCACATATATGTTCAGTGTCCTCTATTTTTTATCTGCTAACTTTCCGTAGCAGATCATTTTTTTCGATCGGTGTTTTTTTTTATAAAATCACCAGAACTATCATTAAAAACTATCAGGAACTATAGAACTCGACTGCATGCGACAAGAACTCTCTTTTATTTTTGATCTGCTAGAAAATAATCTGCTACGGGAAGTTAGCAGATCATTTTTTCGATTGGTGTTTTTTTGGATAAAATCACCAGAACTATTACTAAAAACTATAAGAAACTATAGAACTCGACTGCATGCGACAAGAACTCTCTTTTATTTTTGATCTGCTGGAAAATGATATGCTAGGTTCACGAACATGATATTTTAAAGTAACATCAAATATTTTTTAAATTACAGTTTTTACGGTTTGCAACAAAGCTTCAAACGAAAACATGATTTTTCATCTATTTTTCCTTCTGAAGTTTAATTTGATATTAGCTGCTTACTGCTTATTTTCGATAATAAATTTATTTTTCGACGATGTCTCGATGTTTATGTTTCGAGGTTTCGGAATATTCTACAGATACGACTTTATACGAAAGCCCATCTATACAACGTATATATTGATTCGATCAATAACGGGGGGGGGGGGGGAAATGTCGTATCTTGGACGATTGAAGTGTAAAATTTACCTCGTTCTTTGTAACTCGGTCCCAGTCCAGCAGCATGAACTCGAGGCTGACGTTGTTGAGCCCGTCCGCGCCGTTCGGTATGTCGAAAACGAACGATTCATTGAACACCGGACTGAGCGTACGTTTCTTCACGTGCGTCTTCTTCTTGGCGATACGTTGCTGGTTGTACAGAAGATAGATCTTCACATATGGATCGGCGAGCCCAGTCACATCCATCTTGGGTAGATTTCGCGCTTTTAACACCACCACCGTTAGCCGACTGGTGACTGGTTGCCAGCAAAGAGAGACCAGCAATTCCCCTCTCCCTTGCGATTGTATCTGAAGAAAAAAATAAACAGAAAAAAGATATCATCAATTTTCTCATTTTCTCGATACTTTCGCGAAGGAAAAATCATTTTTATATAATAAAAAAAAAAATTGCGATTAAAAGACCAATAATTCTGATACTTTATATATATCGTCTAAGGAATAATCCGTATATTTTGAAGAAGTTCACCTTCAAACTCCTGGGGCATATTTTTCGACATAGCGATATCTCCTGATTATCCGCATCTTCTAAACCGGGCACTGATGATAAAGCGCACGTCAGTTCTCCGATGATGTCGTCGCGCGAGTATCTGTCGAAACTCAGCACGATGAAGTGTAAGCTAATTTTCTGGAATCACAATCATCGGGTAGGTCATTTCTCTTTTCGAAGATTCGCTACAATTATTTTCATTCAAAATTAACAGGCAGTTGACGCGATTACCCGAAGCGTACGGTTTACCTGAAGTTGACTCTGCGATATGCCGAAGAACGTGAAATCCTCATCGTATACCGGGTCCCTGGTGTTCCTGAGAACTCTAGTTTTCACGTGATGCTGCTTGTCGGGCAGCAATTGCAGTTTCACGTAAGGATCGCTGGTAGCGTTCTGCTGACCTCGAGCGGGTAGTCCCTTGCATTTCACCACTGTGACAGCGAGCGCGTTCTGCTCGCTTCGGTACCGCAGTTTGAAGACCAGCTGGCCAAGATTGTCCTTGTCGTTCTCAGTTGTTTGACTCTTATCGCGCTCAACTTTCTCGTTATTTTCCAACTCGGCCTTGTCGCGCTCGTTTTCTATACTTATAGCAACTTCAACGGGCGGCGTCTGTACCGGTGTGCCTACCATTATTGCGAAGATAATTGTATACAAAGTGCAACAGCTTTTTCAAAAAAAATATGCAGTAAAGAATTATTAAAGAATTGAAAAGATAAAGAAACTCTTTCGAAGATATTATTGCTTGAATTCGTACGATTTCTACATTTGCATAGATAAATACTGAAATAATTATGGAAGACATAACCAAGCAAATATAAAAATTTAACTAAAAAAGTTTCTGAACAGCTGATTTATCATTTCAGCATAAATTCAAATAAATTTTATAATTTAAATATTTTAATATACTTATAAATGCTAGTATAAAAAGTCGTCTTTTAGTACAGTCAAATATTTTCTTGAATAATCTACCTGACTAATAAGAAAAAAATGTTTATACAAAATAATCGAAATAGGAAGAAGAAATAATATTGCATCTGAAAAAAACATTGATTTTTACCGCGTGACAGCAAGAGGATTGAAATAATATAAGCTATTTTTATAATTCAACTTTCTTTTCCACTGTTTAAATATAAGATAATTAAAAAAAATAGAAGATAAAAAATTGCATCTTTAATATGTCTGCAATATTTTTATCTGCAATATTTTTATCTGCAATAAGAACAGATGTTCATTTCAACGCAAAAAAAAAAAATTTTTCAATACTGTTTGCCTAGTGGTAAGACTACATCACTAGATTCATTATTTATTTGCTCACAGACGTTACCTGCGCTCTGCGGCGTTCTGGGCTGAGACGCGGGATTCGAGGACTGCGACCCGGTCGGGCTCGGGGTTTGTCCGCCCGAACCAGGCGGGCTCTTGGCCGGTCCTGTTGGCGACGGGCTCTTCTTCAGATAGTGGCTCGTGCTGCCGGGACTCTTAACCGCCGTCGGTTTCCGGTGCGGCGGCCTGAACGCCAGGGACTTGTCGGAATTCAGCTTGGTGTGCTCGCGACGTCGTCGGCAGAGCCACCAGGTCATCGCGACGGCGCATAGTAGGAAAGCGGCGCCAATGCACAGCGTCACTAACGCCGCCGTCGAGACTGAAATCGCACGCGTGTGTGCTTTTCGATTTTCTTCGTCGTATGTATGAGATTTATCGCGAATTGCGTCGCATCATGCGATGCCGCACGGGGACAATGGGGGAGGGCGAATAATGACAGCATTGTGAACGTTTCCGGAAAAGGAACCTGGCAATGCGCGATATTTATGAAAGCGCGAAGGAGCTAAGGAATCTTTTTATGCTTTTCCTCTCCGCCGATAGAGCTCCTTGTTTATTTAACAATACGCTCCCCGATATAACGCTACGCGCGAAACGGGAGAGCGGTCAATCGAGTTCCGCGAACGCATCGCGTGACAACAACGTCCCCACGCGCTAATTACTCCAATACTCCGCGTGCAATCGAGCTGGTTGATATCGATAGGTACGGCGCGCTCCACTTCCAGCGCTTTCCACGGCGGAATTACGCGTCGCAGCCTCACGCTCGCGGATCGCAAATTTGCGCAACGAACGACATAGAAGCAACACGTCGAATGTCGCGGATCGTCGAACACGATCCGCCGCGTAATTGCGCGAGGAATTAACGACCCGGCGTAGTCGTAATCGAGGGACAAGAAGTAACAGCTGTCGGTGTCCTCCATTCCGAACGGTGCCGTTGCGAGGCACCGTTCTATGTCGGACGAGCCGATTGACGATCAAATCGGTCGATCCCGCGGCGCGGAGCGGAACGGAATATCCTTCGATAACGGTTAATGATTGCGGAAGGGATGTCAGATGATAAACGTAGGCGGGCATCGTCGGGCGGGCACTCACTGAGACAAAACACTCACCGGGTTCGACATGTCGAATAAGAGGTCCACCCTCCTTCACTCCACCGACCATCCTCGGTCACGTTGCTGCCTGAGCGCTGCAAAATGGGATGCTTTTTGTCCGCGTAAGTCTTATCCGTCACGGCGCACCGAACGAATATTTACGGGCAGCGTGCAGCCCCCGTCGTTGTTCGCGGCACTCTACCGTCGTCCGACCGTCGGCCGAAACGCGTGTGGATCAATAGCCCCCGAGAGGTGTGGAGCTTGCGCGGAGAGGGATGACGCGGCGCCGCCACCGACAGCACCGGACGAAGGCACCGAGAGCGTCGGCGGAAGAACGCGACGTTCGGCGAGATGAGATGATAGGGTGGTCCTGCGGGTCACCCGCAGCTGCGACCCACGCGGGCCGATGTGCGGCGTAAAATTTGATACGAGAGAGTATTTATAATTCGCCACGAGAGAAATTGCGATCGGCTCTGCTACATTCCGCTAACAGTTTGAAAAAATATATTTTTTATATAAAGGATCTCAGTCGTTCTAAAAATTATTTCCATGCAGATGTCCATGTACATTCTCTCGGAATGTTTCACAAACGTACAGTTTCAATATTGAATTAATGTTTTTTAAAAGTGATTTTAAAACAACGAGAAATATAAATGTAAATAAAAGTAAAAAAAAAAATATATATAAAATTTAAACAAAATTCTGTGTGAAGTATTTTTGTCCGTTTAGATTAAACAAACGTCATGCAGAATGACAATATTGATTCGCGAAATGGAAGTAAATGTTTACATTCTTCGAAACTTGATTACAAAAATAAAATTCATATTTTACAAATTCATATATTTAATACATTAGAATTAATGTGCTTCAAATTGTAAAGCAATCGCACATTGAAACCAGGATTTTGTAATTATTGTTTAACATCACGATGCTAAAATTCTGTTGAGTAAAGTTTCATAGAAATTCTTGAAATTGAATTATAATGACAAATGCACTCGCCGAGTGTAAATCGATGTGTCGTCCTCGCTGCGTTTCGATCGTATTCCCGCCGGTCCTTCGTGGAGATGAAAATATAAGAAGGTAACAAAAATGGTACAAAATGAAAAGGGCTAAACTTAGAATTAAACTTTGTATAACTATTTTTAGTCGACCTTTTCTTTTCCAATGATGTTTGAACATATGTATGTAAATTTTCTGATACACTTCTAGACCAATCGAGTGTAAGCATTTAGATAGAAAAACTAATTATAAAAGTAATTTGTTTAATATATATCGTGTAATATAAAAACAAAAAAAAACTTTTATTTTAAATTATTATAACAAAAAAATATCAATAGCAAAATATTAATAGACTAATATCTATATTAAGATTCCACCAGAAGAGATATAAACCGATAATAAACTAATCTATAAGTGTTAAATAAAATTTCTAATTAATAATCTATTAATTTAAAATAAAGATTAAATTCAAGGGCCAAATAATTTAAAACCAAAAGGTTAATAAGAAACAGCCAGTGGATCCATCACTTTTGGTTTTTAATCTATTAATTCTCTAAATTAATTATAAATTCTAATTTATTATCGTTATTCAAAATATATGCAATCATTTTTCACGATTAACAGCAAGTTAAGGTAACGCGACGCTGTTTCTCTCAATACGATATAAATCAGAAATGTGTAACGCAATGCTAACACGTAGTTTCAAGTTGCATTAGTAAATCGATATGGAAAAAGGGTGTATATGCTGTCTACTGCCCACATGTATCTCGAGTAAAACCACAGAAACGTTAGATAAACTGGACTAGTGCCCTTCGCTATCCGCTGCACGCTAAAGCTGTGTTTTGAATTATCGATCGGTAAATACTAAAAGAAAAATTAAAGTGAAAGAGATGGAAAAGATATTTGTCTGCGATTCATCTGTAACGTGAGAACACTAACGATCCACATTTATGACTCAGTTCATGAATAACGGTGTCGTTTCAAGAAACTCGAAAGATAAAATGATCGAGATCAGTTTCACCTAAAGAGTAAAAATAAAAAACAACTCAATAGTAAAAACAACCGGAAAACCTCGTAAATTATTTTGCGCGACGGGGTTCTGAAGTATGACATAAATTTTCCGCCACTTAAGCCTCAAGAGTGCGGCTGGTGTCGCGGCGATGACATTATGGAGAACGCACAAACTGCATCCCGATGCAATTTAACTTAAAATTTCAACGGGCGTATGAATTTTACGTCTATCCGAATTGCGGTCTATCAACGCTCGGGGACGTGACGTCGCATTTTTACACGGCACGTTCGAATTTTAGATTCAATTCCGAAAATGCGCCCGACGATACACGTATAACTTGAAGTATAGATGAAGTACAAAGTACATGTCATTTTCCATGTCGAACATTTGCGGAATTACGATGATCGACTTGCAACAAATCGCGAGGTCGTCCACGAGAAATTGCGCTAACGATGATGAAACAGGATTTTCCGCTATTCGATTTATTGGTTTCCCAATAAATTGCGTCGCTTCTGACACAGGTAACTGAAAATACTTCTTAATAGCAACATAAGTGAGCTGGAAATTATATATCAGCAAAACTGCTAAAAATAAGTAATAAAATAAACAGATAGAGAAAATACAAGTAAATAAAGTCTGTAATCGATTACATTCCTAATTGATTTGTTTTTCAATGTATAAAATAGTGTCTCTTTTAACGATTACTCATCGGTGAAGTCGCGTAATAAAGCCAAAAAGTAATTCATTATTCATGCCAATTAAATTTTAATTCATTTAAATTTAAATTAAACGGGAGCTAAGATTTGTGATCGATCATTAAGCTAATATAAGCTTGCTATAAATAATGCTTTATTTATTATTAAATTTCAGAAAGCTTCAAACAAAGTAATTTGTAAGTTGAATATTAATTTAAAAATTAACAGACCATAGCAACTAACTATTAATTAGCATTCAACAGTTGAAATCTTAATATTGTATTTACATTGATAAAATTATAATATTCATATTTAAAAGTTAAACACTTGCAAATAAATTTGATGACATTTTCGCTAAAAAAATCAATTGTAAAATATCCAATGTAGTCCTCTAAATTTAAAATATTCCATATGAATATTTTTATACAAATTGCCTCGCATAATTTGTTAAGTAACAGAAAGAGAGACAAGTCGTTATATAAAAAGGTTTTCAAAATGCAATAGAAAAAAAATTCATGATAACTGAAATATTCTGGCAAATTGAGCAAAATTAATAATTTAATTATAATTTTAATTCAAAATTCGCATAAAATCGGTCTGAACAATTGAAATAATATCCAAAAATAATCCTTTACTTTTCTCGCTATGAGAAATAATTTTTTCACAAAATCTTTTTTCTCTTAATTGTACCTTAGTTTTAGTTATTTTATTTTTCTAGAAAAAATTTAGAATAAAAATCATAAAAAAAAAAAAAAACATATTACGTCCTGAATGTATAAAACTAAACTGCGTTTCTCCGCCCGGAGAATTGTTGTGATGCCTGCGCGTCCCAGAATGAAGACGGTCCTGGCGACGGCGAGTCTCGCCGACTACGTCACTCGTCGTCTGCGCGAACATATGAACGCGTGCACCAGCGTGTGGCTTCGTGTGTCCGGTTTTTCACCAGCTCGATATAGCGTAGAGCGACGCGCTCGGACCACAGCGGAACGCCGCGACGTCGGTAAGCGTCGACGTTAATAAGCGTCGGTGAATGCAACGCGAATGAAATAATCGACGATATCGGTTGACAAGAGAAACGTTAAGGTACAAGGTAAACCGATCGATATGGGTTTGAAGGATTTCCGGGTAGTATTTGACAATCCAGTGAACACGTATTATTCTGGACAAACGGTGACGGGTAATATCATCGTCGTCGTGGATAGCACGAAGAAGGTTCGCGGTGAGTCTTGCCTTAAAAACAATTGATTACACGTAACACGCAATAGTCATACATAAGAAAAGATGATTGAGAGTGACTCATTAATTCTCAGGACCGTAATATCACTCTCTGGAATCGCTATCCATAAGCAATATCCAAAAGAAAAAGAATATTTTGTTTTAATAAATAATTTTTTTCAACTATACGTGATCCATAAATATACACGAATGTACATAATTATCGTGCAGAGTTTTATTTGAATACGTTACTTGTCATTTTGTTATTTATCAATTCTATTATAGCAATTTACAATAATACATAGATAATCAGCAAAGCGAAAGTACAATAGGAATAATTCGTTTGATAATTAATGTTAACAATTAATTATTTAATTAATCTCATTTGATAATTGTTTATGCACAAGCTGAATATTTTGTTTCGTTCTGTTCTCAACTTCTGCCATTGAAAAAATTATTTATATATTAAAACAATTATTTAGTGTGTGCTCTATATTCGAAAATATATTCTGTGTCTGTCGCATTCTATGAGCGTTCTTTTTTCACTGCAACGTAGACGCAAAGTTAATAATAGAACAACCACACGTTGCACTCCTGCACAAAATTTCGTTACTGTTAGTCGAAAACTTTATCTCTTACATTTATCTAAACAGTTTTATAACATTCAAATTTATTGCATCCAGTGCAAAGAATAAATCGGATTTTCTGGAAAGAATAAGGAATGCTTTTTAAAAAGTTTGCATTTATATCTTGCCTTATTTACATTAATTAATTCAGATTTGACATTTATGGTAAAACAAATTGACAGAATAATTTAATAAAAATTTGCGTTTTAGTGCAAATCCGATAAAATATAAGGATAAATAAAAAAAATAAACAAATAAATTAAACAAATAAATTAATTGAATTAATTAATTAATTAAAAAGAAGAATTTGGGTCTTTTCAAATATACGTGTATGTGTTTATAATATTTGGAATTTCTTCCACGCAGGTATAAAAGTGAGAATAAAAGGTGAAGCGAATACTTCTTGGTCGTACGGTGGATCCATGATGGAAGAAAACTATCTATTGAAAAAGAATGAGTCATACTATGTAGAGGATATTCTCACAGGTTATGAAGAATATTTTGAAGAAAACTACTACTTGATTGGATCTGCTTCGGGTAAGGTTAGATAATTGTCTCTGTGCTTCACAAAATGCGAAGAATTTAAATTTTATTTAACCAATTTGCATATATATTCATTTAATTATTTTTTATATGCGCTCTTTTACCAGGCAGTGAAATAGAAATACAATCAGGGGAACACAAATTTCCATTCACATATACTTTACCGTTAAACCTGCCGTGTAGCTTCGAATCGGACTTCGGACACGTTCGCTATACTGTTAAAGCCACGCTGGATCGACCTTGGAAGTTTGATCACGAAGTCAAGCGTCCATTTACAGTCATCACCCCGTTAGATTTGAATAAAGAACCCAGAGCGACTGTTTGTATCAAATTTTATGCGTAAAATAAGTTTAAATTGAATTTAAAATCAGATCTAAAAGTACATCGAATAAAGGAACCATCAATTTTGTTAAACTTTTAATAGTATGTTCAAAGTTAAAATTAAAAGATTTATAAAAAAGAATCATTTTAATCAATGATGATAGAAAATGTAAATGTATTTTCAGGAATCCATTCAGGAAGAAATGAGCGACACATTATTTTGCCTGTATTGTTGCGACACGTCACCTCTGACCGTAAATTTTTCGCTACCAGTTCGAGGATACGTGTCCGGACAATCGATGCCGATAAGAATAAATGTCGAGAATTTGTCAAACGTCGCCGTGAACACCATCAAGCTCGCTCTTTGTAAGGTATGCAACAGTTTCATTTCGCAACTGAGCCGTTTAAAGAGCAACGACTCTCGGCGGTGTGTCGAAGCTAGACAAATTGTGGATGTAAATTTTTCACCAAGAAATAATAACGTATCGTGAAGTTCAGATTGTGACCTTTCACGCTAACCCACAAATCGGACACTCACGGTTCGCATCGGACGCACGCGTGTACAAAAAAGAGGAATTTGTGATATCGGAAATCAGTAAAGGACCGGTCGAGGCTCGCGGCACCGCCGATTATGAGCAACATCTAGATATCCCGCCTTTGCCGCCGTCGAATTGCCTTGATAATTGCAGCATTATCGATATCGAGTATAAGTTGAAAGTGAAAGCGTACTCCCGAGGATGGTTAGTATTTTTTTTATTTAATTTGGTGATCTGGTTCGCGCTAGTCTGTATCGATTTATAATGCGTTTTAAGTATTTTTATTTATTCAAGATAAAAAAACTTTTCGTGATATGTCTTATGATTTGTAGGTATAATTGGAACGTAGTTGCCAAGACGCTTATCTTTGTGGGAACAGTTCCGCTCGCGACTTATCACGCACCGACTGCCCCACCTGCTGAAACGGAAGGCGATTCTCCAACCAAGCCACCCGCAGCCGGTTTCGTTATACCTTCGACGAATATGACGTTACCTTTACCGGAAGCCAGTTTGTACCCGACTTTACGTAAGATTGACATGAAAATCAGCGTTGTTTTCTCACATGAGAAAGAAATATGAAATAAACGAGAAATAATGAAAATGGCGATAAGAGCCGTTGCAGGATGTTAGTGCTAAATTTTTTAATTTTTCTTAAAGAAATTAGTAAATTAGTCTACAAGAGACAGTTAAATTGTACACCAATCTCAAATCGAGATACTTAAAGTGTACGAAATTTATAGTACATTGTTCTCATATATCGAGAAACTTTAATGTACGTATAGGAATTATTGTAAAGAAAGGAAGAGAGAAAAAATATCAGGGCGCGAGTGGCTAAATATGAAATAATATTGGAATAAGATTTATGAAAGAAAAAAAAGATTTCTATTTATACGGAAACCTTTTTTTTTATCATAAACTCGTTCGTAGAAATAATTTATCCTATTTGTTTTTCAGCTCTGCCGTCCTTCGAGAAGTCTTTAAACAACGCTCGGTATCTTCGCGAATTCGAAGAATCGGATTACGTTTACGGCCTAAATAATTATTTCGCGCCGAGATATCCGGTATATAATTTCGCAACAACGCAATAACGGGAAGAGCAGAAACATCTCACTGCGTTGAAATTAATTTTTATAAAATTATTGGATCGCATATTTTGCTCTTTTGGCGACAAAAGCTTCAAGAACCCACAAATCGCAATTTAATCGTACTCAGCTTCGAACAGTCATTTCTAATCAGCATAATGGTTGGATGTAGTGTATAATCAAACGAACATACGAACAGCGCGCTTTTTAAAATAATATTTAAATTTTTTTACACTAATCGAATGCGGAAGATCATAGACAAAACTCTCATCTGGTCAGTAGCGCAGTTTGCTTATGGGCTTTTGAGGCTTGAGCCCCTGTGCGCCGCAGCTTCTATATATTCATAAAAAAATGTTCCATTTTCAATTATCTCCTTGTTCTTAAGTGTGTTTCGGTAGAATTTAATTAATATTCAAAATGTTAATTATTTACTGTTTATTCATTGGGGGAGGGAGGTCAGACTGAGGCGCTCGAAAATCACAAGCCCCTGGGCGCAAATTTTACAAACGCGACCCTGCATCTGGTGATACGATATATTTATTTATTTGATTATATTTGTAGAAATATACATATATTATCAATTATATAAATACATCGTATTATATAAATACATCGTATAGAAAAAGGATATAATCTGTCAGATTGCATTAGCAATCTCGAAAGCGCACACTTTTTAGAGCAACGCCGTTTATAAACACTCGCGTAAAGATACACGGTCGGTCTTGCGCTGCGCGTGAACTTGACGCGAGACACTACCGTATCTCTTGATATTGTAAATGTGAATGTATATTCGCGATGATAAGCGAAATGAAAGATTAAAGACACCGAAATACATGCTTTACGTAATTATGAGCGAAAAATATTTTTAAGATTTTGAATGGATTTCGGATGGATTTCGCAATGAGAATTTTTTACTAACGACTCCCTCTTGATGAAAAAACTCTTTACACAAAATGAAAATAATAATGCTATTACATATAAAATTGTAGTAAAGGCCTAAGCAACTGCTGAACAAATATACAAATGCAATACAGTATTATGTATGTTATATATATATATATGTTGTATGTACAATAATTATGTTTTTATATTTTAATAATGTTATTTAAATTTCCGATTTTAATATACAGGGTGATTCAAAATAACCTAATGTTCTTGTAATGCCATATTCTTGAGCGAATTCTGAGATAATTTTTCCTTTTACAAAATTTTGTCCGAAGCTTAGTTTTCGAGTTATAATTGAAAATAGATAGCAACTTACGAGTTCGGTACAACGGGCAGGCAGGGATGCGCAACATATAAT